AGGGAAATCAGCATCCCAAGACAACATCAAGACAAGAACAACAACAGTACAACTCAACACAGCTCAAGATGTAATCTACTGATCACAAAGTAGAAAACATCAAGGCAAGGACAACAACAATAACCAAATACAACTCGAGGCGTATTCTACTGATCACAAAGTAGAATACCACTCGACATGCTCAACAACAAAGATTACACAATAAAACATTGGCAACTACATGCCCCAGTGACACTTCGTGTCACAAGTTCCAACCTTATGGCTACCCCCGGCCTTATTACAGTTCCAACCATTACCTCCAGGACCCCTGTACTCCAAAGTCCAACCTTATGCCTCCGAGGACCGTCGTCCCCTCTCCGAAAATCTCCAACATTTACACCAACACATAGTACACGAGGGTACCATTCATTTCATTCACAATCTCCAACAAGTGAGCCTAAAGCTCAGATTTCAACTCCAATTTCATTTCATGGCCACCACGAGGACCACATCTGTACCTTGGTGATTAATGTCCCATACCATTAACCGTGCAATCAAGGTACAACCAATACACACATTTTCATCACAGGAATCAATCAATGGATCACAACAAAGATATGAAACCATACTCAACAAGGAAGGATTACAATCCGACTCCAACGATGGTCAACACAAGTTGCCAACTTCAATAGGAAAGAACAAACCACGCACACTAGAATTTCAACATCAAACTAGAATGCTTATCAAACGGGTAAACTAAACATAGTTCCGTAGAACATACAAGACTCATCATAGTTCAACGAATCACAAAGTTGAACACTTAGCACGATTCAAGACACCAAAATCCTACATGGATTCCTAACATACCGTTCTAGACATACAAAACATCAAGAAGACACTCAAAAAGCCCAATAAAACATCATTGGGAGGTCAAACATCAATTACCGAGTCAAAAGAATCACGGGGAACAAATCCCCGAACAACCTCAAACACGTACCCCGCGGGTGGGGCCACGGGTGGACCTCCACCCGTGGGAACCAAAGCCCACAACCGGTGTACCCTGCGGGTGGGGCGGTGGGTAGTCCATTGCCCGCCGTTCCGCCCGCGGGTACCAACTTATGTCCAAAATAATCCCTTCGGGGATTTTCACCAACAAGTCCAAATTCAAGTCCAAAACACCCAAAATCTCACAAAATACAACAATATGACTTGAACCCAAGAAATAGCCAAGCAATGGCATACAAGAATCCTAATAACAAGCTCTAGATATGCATTCTCACAAGATAATGCATCAAAAATCACATTTCATAACAAAAATCACAAGTAGAAGTCAAGAAATCATCATATAGGTAAGAAAATAGATATTGTAAAGCATGGGTTACCTCTTGTAGCCTACTACTTCACTTTTCACACCCTTACAAGCTTCTCTTAAGGCTCTCCTTCAACTCCAACTTCATAAACACACCAAAAGACACAAAGATTCCATATTTAGAAAAAGACACCTATAAAGATACTAAAAACACTAAGGGACCAAGGATCTTACCCTCCCTTATTCTCAAGCTTAAGAAAGTATGAATCTTGGAGACCAACTTGAAGAATCTAGGATTGCCCAAAACTTGGCTTGAAGAAGAAGCTAACAATTTTCTAGAGAGAAGGTGGAGCTTTTGTGTTTAGGGTGTTAGGGAAATGTAATGAAGGGTGATGCTAGGTTAGCTTGGGGCACAAACATAAGGTGAAAAGACTTCTTTGTCCTTACTTAAGTTGGAAGAATAAGGAGACAAGGGAACAATTCATAAAGCATAGAGTACAACTCTTTGACTTGGATTGACTAGTCAATTTCTAGTCCTCCGACTATTGAATTTCAGGATTTTAGGAATAAATTACCAATTAAGCTAGGATTAATTATCTAATTAATCCTTAAATAGATTTTGGATTTACGGGGTGTCACGACTTAGAAACGGATTCCCGCTTGCGTTTGTAGACGTGTGTTTGGTTTCTTTTGCTCTGTTTTTATAATTATCTTGTCTTGGAATTGTCAGGGTGCTGCCTCGCCTCTTTTCAGATGCACCCTTAAACACTTTTTGCGTCTTCATAAACCTTCTTTGGTCTGCCTCTTTGAACCTAAGGTATCGGGGGTGTAGGCCAATGAAATTTGCTATTCTTTTGGTTTTGATGAATGGATTAGGGTAAAGGCTGTAAGGTATTTGGGGGTATTTGGCTGTTATGGAAGGACTCACTTAAAATAGAGGTCTTATTCACTCATCCTCAATTTATTTTGTTTCAGGTGCTTGAAAATGGAACCTCACCTTGGCTCATGTCTGCGGTTTGTGGTAGTCCCAATATGGCGTTAAGAAGGCGGCTGTTTGCGGAACTATCAGGGCAGTTTTTTGAGCCATAGGGACCACGGCTAACAGTGGGCGACTTTAACTCCGTTACCAATGAGAGTGAAGTCAGCAGCTCGGAAGTTTTTTCCACTTCTAGATGCTCGACTTTTTATAACTGGATTTTCACGGAAGGTCTGGTTGATCTAGGCTATTCGGGTTCGACCTATACTTGGATGAGGGGGATTGATACACCGTCCTTTAAAGGAGCCCGTTTGGATCGCGCCTTGAGCAATGTAGAATGGAGCCTTCGTTTCTCTGATGCAAATGTCACTCATCTCCCCATGATTGGGTCCGATCACTCGTCGCTTATTATTTCTACAACTTAAGTCTCCCAGCGAACGTACATCAACAGGTTCAAGTTCACATGGCATGGGCAACGCATTGTTGTTTTCAAGCTTCTGTACAATCAACTTGGAAAAAGGATTTGGACTTGAGCATGAACACAACAACAATGGCTCAAACCCTTACTGTGTAGAACAAGACCAGCTTTGGTAATGTATTCCGGAGGAAACAACAGTTGTTGGCGAGACTAGAAGGAATTCAACGGAGCTTATCCTTGAGAGTAAGAACACATTTGATTTGATTAGAATGCAGGCTACGCAAGGAACTCGAGGAAGCACTCTATCAAGAAGAGCTTATGTAGTTTCAGCGATCAAGGGAGGAGTGGATCAAGTTTGGGGATCGAAATACTATAAGATTTTCCCTAATAATATATATTATATATTATATATTAGGTCCTTAATTAAGTGGTGCAAGTTGACTATGCTTATTAAGTGGTCTGGTTGGATTGAATAACTAGAAGTTGTTATTCAACCAGACTCTGTGCCTAATATAAACCTGGATCGATGGGCTTCAGGATATTCATTTTATAGCACATAAAGATATGGTACTCATACTGCTCAGTAGACACCAATACGCCATCTAGGGTTCTGAGTCAAGTACGAGACAAATATGGATGACGGTCTACCGTTAAGAGGCAACACAACAGGAACATCAACTGTGGCTGCAGATCTACACGATCATCGCTTCCGCTTATACGAGGTTAGGTTTCTCGTATTATTATTCAGTATAGTCAGATTATTATGTATCTAACATTTGGTATCAGAGCCTATATAATCTCCGCCCAGTTGATTGTATTGCCTGAGGAAAATCAACATTAATTTCATATACATTGAGTTTTTTTTTTTTTTGTATATGGTTTGATTTTCAATTACATTCAAATTTTATATTCAAGATATGCATGTAGGGATATATCTATTTGGTTTTTTTGATATAACCAAACATGTTATTTTTTGAATTAATTGATTGTAATTGATTTTTTGCATGGATGAAATTCAATTTTGGTGTTAAGAAAAAATTGTAATTTCTCCCAAATCTTTTGCCTACTGCTTGCCTGAGTTCTTTCTAGGATTTCCGGTGCAATGTTTTCCGGTGAAGCAATGACAGCTACACTTTTATTAAGCGAAACAATGACTGTTGTTCTTCCTTTCTGGTTAGCCTTCGATATGGCGCTGTCTTCTTAAGCGAAAATAGGACGACGGTGACGGCGTTGCAGGAGGCGTTGGCGTCGCGGTGAGGATGGTGGCGGACGTTGCCGCTACAACAAGGAAAGGCAGCGGAGGTGGCAGGATTCCCGGTCGATTCATCGCTACTGTCTTACCTTGCTTCAGGCAGCCCTGGCTTCGGCCGTCATTGTTTCTCCTCTTTCAGGTGACTCCTTACCGCTGCTCCTCAAGTTTCAACGGCAAACGGACGACGGAGGCGGTGGCGTTGTGACGAGACCAAGTGGTGGAGGCGGAGCTGGGATTGCACGGTGACGTCGCTGCTTCCTTCATCTCTTTCAGGCGACGCCGGCAACCTCCTTTTGCCGCTGTTCGTTGGAGCTATGGTCTCCTGGTTGCCGCTGCTAGGGCTTCTGGTTGGTTAAACAAGAAGATGATGATGGAGGATTATAGATTGGGCCGGGTCTGGCCCAATTCGTCCAGGCCTGGACTAGTCTTTAAAAAAAAAAAAATCCTGGGCCTATTTAGTATTTTGGGCTTGCTTCAGCTTTCATTCATCATATTTGGACTTTTTCCACCTTAATTGTTCAACTTTAATTTGTCATTAATTCATTATTAAATTATCATTCAATTTAGGACAAATATTAAGTTTTAATTTGTTGTTTGAATTTTAATTTAATGTTATGGTGTAGAATTGAATTTTCTCAAAATTTATAATTTATAGTTAATAATATATTAATATGAAAAATCAAAGCATGCTATGTATATTTATTAAATAATTATTTTATTACACATTTAGAAAAGCATGCATTCAGGTTGGATTTAGCATATTATTAACTCATAAATTCATTATTAAAATATCATTCAATTTTGGATCCTTAGGCCAATTTAGGACATTATGGCCTACTAAAGCAGTTTGTTTGGTTTCTCATTAATTTTGAGCATATTTTAGTCCTATATTTCACTTGGGACTTTAAAATCTTTTTTTTTTGAAGAAGCTATTTGGGACCTATCTTGGGTCATTAAAGCATGGATCCTACCTTTTTTTTGATTGATACTTTAATGATAATTGTAGTTTTTTTTTTTTTTAATTATAACATGTTTATCAACTTTTTGAAAATTATATGATGCTTCATTAAAAGTAGGCCGAAATAATATCCGGTGGGAGTAGATCCCAATACATAGTTGCAGTTTGCTGATAAGCCGTAGTAGCTAAAGCATGAGCTAGATGGTTTTCTAATCTAGGAATAAAATGAAACGAACAAGACTGAAACGAAGATGCAATAAGCCTGCAAGTGTCAATGTCATAGCCTAGATACGTGCGCAACACAACGGTTGGTGTAGTAAGGTAGCGATGTAGTGTCAGGCAGTCCATATATACCTCAATATTCTGCTCTCCCCGATCCTTCAACCATGATAGAGCTTCTTTACATGTGAGTGCCTCAGCCATAAGTGGCGAGGAGCATCCTTGTAGTGGTCCACTGTATGCCGAGACATATCCCCCGTCCGTGTCTAGTAAGACTGCCCCCAAAGCAGCCTGTCCTGTCTCTTGCATGTACCCCCCATCCACACGGCATAATCGCCTTGGTGGTCCAGGCGGCTCGGCAGTGAGCAGGTTCGCAGCATGGAGTTCGGCGCTTCCTTGCAGCGGGTTCGGCATAGCTGGGAGCGTGGTGGCTAGGGCCGTGGGCTGTGGGTGCACCCGTGTCCACGCCAGCTTGGCAGCAGCGGCGGTCTTGAGCACCACCTCCGGGCGTGGTAATGTTGCTTCCCAAACGGCCCTGTTCCTTGCTCTCCAAACATTGTAAAGTATTGCTACTGCATATAATATCCCATCAGAGTCTAGAACATTTAGAAGTTCATCAAACCAAACATAAAAAATATTTGTGATTATATTTGGAATTGTGAGGTTAGATTTATCCCAAATGTTCCTTGCAAAATCACACAACACCAAGGCATGCATTGTGTCTTCTTGAGATAATCCACACATGGCACATCGTGGATCCACATACACCCTCTTTATAATCAAGTTTGTAGTAGTAGGAAATATATCACTAATGGCTCTCCATAGAAACATTCTCCATTTTGGGGGGATTTTTAGCTTCCATAGGGATAACCATTTTGTAAATACCCCATCAGTCTGTTGATAATTTCCCATTACTTGCTTATATCCACTTTTAACAGAATACTCTCCTCTTGGATCCCCATGCCAATACCAGGTATCATCATATTCCGGGGAGATGGGTATCTTCATAATTTCCGCCACATCATTGGGTTGAAATAAGTCAGTTAAGATCGAGGGATCCCTAACACCAGTTTGCTAGTCTATCAAACCTGCCACCTTGGCTCCTTGCAACTGTATTGGCATTTCTGTTTGTATCATTGGGTCATGGTCATTTCGTAGCTAGGGGTGGGTCCATATGAATGTAGACTCCCCATTACCTATTTTGCGCCTCACCCCACCACAAATAATACTCTTTGCTGCCATGATGCTCCGCCAGCAGAAACTGGGATTATTTCCCACTTGTGCATCAAAGAAAGATCCTTTCGGAAAATACCGGGCCTTATACACACGTGCCACCAGAGAGTCAGGCTTAGTCAACATTCGCCACGCCTGCTTTCCTAGCATTACAAGATTAAATGCACGCAAATCTTTGAATCCCAGCCCACCGTATTTCTTCGGGACACATAACTTGTCCCATGCCTTCCAATGTATTCGCCTGTCAGTTCCAGAATCCCACCAGTAACGATTCATCGTCCTTTCTATCGCCGTACACACTGATACAGGTAACAAGAAAACACTCATTGAAAACATAGGCATAGATTGTGCTACAGTCTTCAAAAGAATTTCCTTCCCCGCCTGTGATAGCAGTTTTTTATTCCATGATCCAATCCTTTAACGGATTTTATCCTCCACATACGCAAAAACTGCTTTCTTGTGTCTTCCAATAAAAGAGGGGAGTCCCAAATACTTGCCAAATTCGGTGCCTGTGCCACACCCAAAATCTGAGCCACACTTTCTCTATCCTCGTTACTAGTATTTCTGCTATAACATATACTCGACTTATGATAATTTACTGCCTGCCCGGATAGATTCTCATACACAGATAGACACCTTTTAACCTCAGTTGCTTCCTCCGCCTTGGCCTTAAAAAACAGCAGACTATCATCTGCAAAAAATAAGTGAGAAATCGGGGGGCACCTCTTGCTACCCTGCAGCCATGTATTGATCCCACATTATGTGCCTGCTGCAACAACAAAGATAGTCCCTCTGCATAAATAATAAATAGATATGGGGACAAAGGATCCCCTTGCCTTATTCCACGAGTGGGTATAATAGGATCACATCTTAAGCCATTCACCTGAATATTATATGAGACAGAGGTTACACATTTCATAATCAACTCCACCCAACCACCATGAAATCCCAGCGCCAACATCATCCTTCGTAAGAAGGGTCATTCGACCCGATCATATGCCTTTGCCATGTCTAACTTGAGAGCACTCCATCCCCCCACTCCACATTGTTTCCTATTCAAAAAATGGCCCACCTCTGCAGCTAATAGTATATTATCCGTTATCAGTCTATCCGGGATAAATGCGCTCTGTGACTCAGATATTACCCCCTCCATTAACGGCTTCATTCTGTTAGCCAACATTTTTGCCATAATTCTATAGACCACATTACTAAGGGCTATAGGCCGCAAATCAGTGACATACTCAGGGGTTTTCTTTCTTAGGGATTAAAACAATATCAATCTCAGTCAACCCAGGCGGGAAATCACAGGACTCAACACAATTTATTATAAAGCTCGCCACATCACCCCCAACCACATCCAAAAAATGTTGGTAAAAGCCTGGATTCATTCCATTCGGGCCTGGTGCCTTGTCCGGGAACATCACAAACAATGCACACTTAACCTCTTCCAGTTCAAAAGGACGCAACAAAGACTCATTCTGTGCCTGCGTGATTCGCGGGACAACTCCCTCAAAAAAATCCTCCCCGGTTCCCGGGGTTCTAGCACAGAAAATATGATTATAATACTGCAAGATAATATTTTTCATAGGCTCCCCCTCAACCCAATCCCCATTATCATTCATCAATCTAGATATAGTATTCTTCTTTTTTCGGTGAGAGGCATACCTGTGGAAAAACTTCGTATTAGCATCTGCTTCCTTAAGCCAGTGTTGCTTGGCTCTCTGCCTCCAGTAGGCATCCTCCTGAGCTTCCGTGCATCTTAACAGCTGTTCTAGGCGCTGGAACTCTGCAAGGGAGGCCGGGTCAGTACGCCCCCTCAGTCGCTGCTGTTCTCTTGTCAGTTCCTTGATCCGTTTTCCGTACTTATGATACCGGTCTCTACCCCATCGTGTTAACCGGGTCCCACAGTACTGAATACAGCTCTGTAAACCCTGGCCCCTCCCCTCCTGCCAGGACTGCTCTACCACATTCCTGCACCCCTCATCATGCAACCAGGCCATCTCAAAACGAACGCCCCTCCTACGAGGCCCAACACCCCCAGCGGAGTCCTGAATCCCCAAAAAGAGAGCCGAGTGATCAGACTTCCGGGTTCTCAAATTCATCACCTTAGCCCCCATCACCATACCCCGCCACTCGTCCGTTGCTAGAACCTTATCGAGCCTCTCCTCCATCCAGTTTACTGTCTCCTTGCCCTTTTCCCATGTGTACGGATAACCAACCATAGGCAACTGAGCAAGCCCACAGTCCTCAATAGCTTCCCCAAAGCCGCGTAGGAGGCTATTCGGATGCGGATTTCCCCCTCTCTTTTCATTCTGATATAACAAATCATTGAAATCTCCAATGACCACCCATGGGAGGTTCGACCTGCCCGAGAGTGTTCTCAAAAGATCCCATGACTCAGCGCGTCTTGTTCGTTCAGAAAATCCATAATAACCCGTCATTCGCCATTCAGGAAAGCCAGCAATAGTTACCCCAACATCAACATAGTTCGTTGAGTAACTGATTAGCCGAGCCGTACTATTCTTCTTCCACAGTAACGCTATACCACCACTTAACCCATCGCTATCAACATAAAAAAGTCCTTCGTAACCGATCTTAACACGTAATCGTTCTGCATGATCATGTGCCACTTTAGTCTCCATTAGAAATACAAAGTCGGGTTGCTTCCGAGACACCATGTCCACAATCTCCCGAACTGTCCGTGGATTACCCAAGCCACGGCAGTTCCAACTTAAAGTACTCATTGATCCGGGCGGGTCTGGGAACCAGTACCCACCTGCTGCAAGTTTTTTGGAATCTCGGCCATGACAATATCCCCTCCTTCGTACGTCCATCCCTCACCATCCACCTCCGCCCGGCGCCGCTTGGCAATCGCCGCCACCTCCGCCTCAACTACCCCCTCGGTCCGGTTCACACCTTCCGGAGTCCGCCCCACAACCACCCGATCCGCTTGCGACTTCCGCCCCACGGCACGCCGCCCCGACGGCAAAACCCAGCTGCCCCCCACCGGCCTAGGGCCACGGCTCCCTCTGGCCCGTAGCTCCGGGCCATACAAATACTCCTCCACAGGCATTTTCGAGTCCCTTGCCCCACGACAAAACTGATACGAGTGCCCTAGCATCCCGCAGAAATAGCAATAAGTATGAAGGCGTTCATACTTGAACATGACCCAGCAACTCGTCTTATCCCGTTTAATAAAATTCATCCGTCTTTTTTAAGGGCTTATCAACAGGCAACGAAACCCTAATACGGTGATACATCTTCCACGGAGCATTGTCAAAACGATCATCATATTTCACAAACGTACCCAAGAAATTTCCAATCTGTTCCAAAATCCGACTAGACGAGTATCCATTCGGCAATCCATGCAATTGGACCCATAGATCCACCGTATCCAGCACTACATCAACCGGCATAACTCCGTCAGTGACCTATTTACACACCAGCGTGCTATTATCAAAAGACCAGGGACCCTCATTCAGAACCCGTTCCATGTCCGTTACATGATGAAAAACAAATAGAAATCGGCCAGGCTCCACCTCCGTTGCTTCAACCCCGCTCACCGGTTGCCACACCGATGCCAAGACCTGACTCATAAATTCCAACCTGACTAGCTTCCGTGTCAAGAACCTTCCCACCACCCCCCAACTTTCTTCCACCTCGCCGCCCCCCTCCTCGGCAACGGCCTCTTCGTCGGGCATGAACGCCGTTGCTTCTTCTTCCAGCACAATATCGGCCCACCTGGCCGTCAAACCTGCCACGTCCGGTTCTACCGGTGTCGAAGCCATCACGCATGCAGGAATCGAATCACGCTTGTTTGCTTCGTCGGAATTCTTTCGTAGTAAAACGTCGAAAGATCGACCGGAAAACCTAGAGAAACCCTAGGTAGAGAGAAACCCTGCCAACAGCACAATAATCTTGGTATTATTACTAACTACCATATTTTGGTATTCATCGTTGGTAATAATATTAAGTTTTGGGTCTATTTCAGTACTAGACCATTTTTTTCATCCATGTTATAATTCACTTGGGCAATTGAGATTTATGAGCTTAATTTGAGTGATTAAATGCTATAATTATTGTCTTATCCTGTTTTGAGACATTAAGGATTTAAGAATTTAATTGGTATATTGGCTGTTAAGAATTACAAACTATTGTTTAAGTTGATTATGTTTTTTAATCTATTAATAACTTTCAGGGCCTTAATAATAATGTTAAATCTTTAATTTTATGGCAAAAGTAATATAGTTGGTATATTGTCTGTACAATGAGAATTTGGTTATTATCTTAACTTTAGTCTCCCTAACTATCATAATAGTCATGGTTAATTATTATGTGGTAAATTGAGGTTAATATTTGACATCACTTAATTACAGTTTTGCCTTTATTGTAGTTATTATTATTGGCATTATTAATTACTGTTATTAAGTTTAAGGGTTAATCTCATTTATTACCTTTCATAATAATTATTATTTCATGGTAATCTGCAATATTTGGTACATCTGTAAGATTACCCACTTCCTTTTTACATAACTATTAATGTTGGTAATTAAGTCATACCAAACGTGCCATTGGACACTGCATCGAGTTTATTGACACCAACAATGAAGGTGGGGAGAATTCTGGAGTTTTTTTTTTCTTCTCATGCGGATCATCATCGTTGTTAGCGCAATGGGCAGATGCGGTTTGCATCATTAAGGTAAGTCATTAATTATCTTTTATGGTTATTATTGATAATTAATGCTATAGTTACAGTTAACCGCTAATTTGGACTAGTCACATGTTTTATCTTTAGAAAAATGGAAACATTAAAATGTGCATCACCATACTTTGATTTGTTGTTATTATTAATGTTAATAGTGATTATAATGTTACTTATTACTATTAATAATTAATTAATGATGACATTAATATTGTTATGGTATTCTGTTATGCATCTTGAACTGTTTCCAAATAAATTTATGTGACAATATTTCAGTACATAAAATATTTTTCTTGACATTAAAGTTTTTCGGACTTCAGATTTGTTAAGTTTTCAAAATTACATCCGAAAATGTTTATAAATGTTAGCGGTTTTACCATTGTTTTTCCATATTTAGTCTCCTACTTAATGTGGTAACATTATTATGGCTATTTATTGCTATTTTGGTTATTTGCAACTTTTTCATTAGTAATAATAATAAAATTATTAACTGGGTTATGGAGAGTGATTTCGAATCAATTTTTTTTTTTTTTTTTTTTTTTTTTTTTGGAAAAACATATTTTCTAGGCAATTGACTATTGCCATTAATTCCATAATTCATTTAGTTCTTTAAATTATGATTTTAGTTATTATTGCCCATATTTGGTTAAGTATGAATAACTGAATATTTGTTATAAATTCATGCTCTTTAGTTGGTTCATACTCTTTAGATAGTTTTATGCATTCAATCACATTAAGTGCATAATATTAAGTTTGATTTTATGCATTAAAACATTTTGTCATGGGCTTACAGTCTGAATCTTTCAAAATATTTATCCATTATTTCATTATTCAATGTTGGGTCTTTTTGGTTTGGGCTCATATTAGTACTTTGAATATTAAATTTTATATTTTGAAATAAATCTCATATTTAAATTGTTTTAAGTTATGTAATATATTTGGAATATATGAGTTTAATGTTTAATTTTATGCATACTTGTCCTAAGCATAATATTTTGTTTTAAATTATGCAATTTTATTACGCCTTCAGCAATGCATACTTTGGAATGGAATTATATTAGTCCCTATTAAGTTGGACTTATACATAAACTTTAGTTGCGGTAGTGCCTGAATTTAAGAACGTTTAGTCCGCTAATTTAGTACACCATTTAAGCTTTAATTATAGGTGAACCATACAGTTTTTTGGTGTATACCCTATAGTTTTAGGTTCATACCCCCAAACAGTTATACATTAAGTATATATGAATCGGGGAGGCATATTAGTTTTATGGCCATGACTTAAGAACATCTTGTGCCACTAGTCTCCTTAAAGTGATACTCTATTTAAGGAATTGGTATTCAGTGAGACTTTGTCTCTGACCATTTTTTTCCTGGAGTATATTTAGATTTTCCCATCACAATTTGGTATAATCTGTTTGTCAAAATTTTAAGTATTTCTTGTGTGATTTTATTTCAGTTCATTAAAAAATAGCCAAAGCATCTTTAAT